CTGCAAAGGATTTGTGAGCAATCTGGTCCTAATGAAAGCGAGTGCTAATTCCCATGGCACCATGTTTGATTCCAGCACGGCAATTCCATTTAGTTCACATAGCTCTGCTAAATTAATCTAATTTCAGAATTTGTTCCAAAGTGCCCTGCTCTTCTGTTCATTCTTTTGTCCAGTATTTGGAAGGAAGGAGTGCCATAATTTTTGTGGCTATGTCCGTGGTATTATATACACTGGGTTGGAAACAAAAATAGGTGTCAATCTCTCCTACTTTTGCTGCCCAGATATGAAGGGAGATGGAAGTCCCTGAATTGAGTCCCTTTCACATTACACAGATATAGGATCCATTCACACAACATAATTTTACTGCTACATTCCCTATTACTGCAATGGTAAAAAGGTTAGCAATGCTGGTACTTGATTGGTGATGCACTAGAGCTCCACTAATATGGACATTTGTGCAAATCTAATTAAAAAAAATACCAACTGTAGCAAGTTATAATTGGACACAAACCTCTTCGACCTCTCAACTTATTATGGCTACCTCATGCATTTCATATGGTTTTCTTAGATGTCCCTCTCTCAACTGCCAATCTCAGAATTAGATGTAAATTGTCAAGGCAATTAAAGTGGGATATAATGCTATATATTCCATTTTAATTGTGCAATATGAATGGGCCACATGTCAGTAGCTACTTTCCCCCTGCACAAATTTCTCATTCTCAAATTACTTATTCTACCTATATGGGTGAAGCTGAATTTCCCCCCATATATTACCCTGGGGAATTTCAAAATACAGGTCGAGGCTATCCTGTTTGATGTAACTGAGGACTGCTTTCTGAGCATTCTGTTGCTTTGCATCATGGACAGATTATTGCCTGGTGAGATTCAAGGACCCAGAGATGCTGCAAGGATGGGGAGTCGGGGAAGACAATGTGCCACAGGAGATTGATGGATCTGAAAAATGTTCTGATGTCTCCTGTGGATTTTTCTGCCATCTTAGAGCAGTTGATTATGTTAAAGCCCTGGTTTACTTCTGGTATGGGGAAATGGCTTAGACAGTTGACACATGACCCCAGTTCTCAAACAGCCATGTTCCAAAGAGTATTATTGCAAAACCACCAGCATCAGCTAGTAGATGAAGAAGGCCACTCACATCTATATCATCACACTATACTAGGTGGATTGTAAGGATTGGGAAGAATATTGCAATATGGGTCCCATGCTAGATTTGTGGGTTCTGTTTTGCATATAAAATGGTTAGTCTTTCAATAGGGTTTGTGGGTTTAACTTTTGCTAATCTGATTATTTGATTAATATGTTTATTTATTTATTTACAACATTTTATCCTGCCCAAACAACAACAACAATTAAAAGCAATTAAGCCACAATTTAAAACAAAATTAAAACAACGTATGTAAACATTAGGTGACTATTGTGCATATGTCCAAAGCCAGATAATCAGATAATTATATTAATCTATCCAAAGCCAATTGCAACAGATAATTATGTTGGGCCAAATGCTTGCTCCCAAAGCCAGGTTTTCATTTGACAGGAGAGAAGTGGCTGATTTAATCCCACTATAGAAGGGAATGCCACATCCAAGGGGCCACCACTGAGAAGGCCTTGTTTCTCATTCCCACCAATCATGCTTACAAAGGTGGTGGGACAGAAAGCAGGGCCTCCCCAGAAGATCTTAACCTCCATGATGGTTCATAGAGGAAGATATGTTCTGATAGGTAATATGTTTTCTCTATGTATCTCTATGTCATTCAGAATGATTCCAGAGTTTTCTAGAAATGTGTTATCTAGGGGAAAGAGTGGTTTCCCAACCAGCCCATTAGCTATTTCCCCACTTTTGCTGAAATCCTGTGCTCCTAATTCATCCTACTGTAGTGATTCAAGTGAAAACTGAGGAATGGATTGTCTAAGTGAAGAAGTAAGTAGTATGGATAGTAATGCTATTATTTGTTATATCTTTTCCTTAGAATTGGCTGAACTACCATTCTCTGGTGTAAAAAAAGGACAGTATTGCTGCCAACTTTTGCCATAAGCTAGTCAAATATAGGTGGCTTCAATGAGAGTGTTTAAGCAGGAATTTAAGTCTCTACACTTGAAATATATTTGGCTGGTTAGTGTTCTAAAAATATAACAGATTGCCACTTAAAAAACAGTGAAGAGATGATTTAGTATTGAAGTAGTCATTGTTGTTTGAACATCTCTTCATATTGCCATCTCCCATACTAGAATTAGATAGTAAACCAAACCAGCTACTATTGTTGCATTCATATTAAAATTGGAATCAAGTCTCTTGAGTCATTTCAGTCTGCTTTGTTGATTACTGCTCGACGGGATGAAGTGTAATGAGAATGACTAAAGCAATCAAAAGGTGCAATTTGTCAGTGTTCTGTTTAATACTTCTTTGTAGATTGGACAGACCCTAGAGAGCATTTCTCAAAGCCAACTGGTACATGGTCTCAAGGAAAGGGCAGCGCAGATCAATGGAAAAGCTTTGTTTATACATTTTCACTAAGAAAAGGAGAAGGAAAACAATTGTTGTTGATCAATCGTTACCCCCAACCCACAGCAATTAAGTGATTTGCAAAGTGGTTTTGAAAAAAAGTGAAGAGAAATAAAGTGTGAAAGAAAAGAGAAATTTGGATTAGTAAATCCACTCTTTCCTTTTTTAAATAATAGCTTAGTGGGACAGAAAGTTGAAAAGCATGCAATTCCCACCCCCAGGAGTTCATGTGAGTCAAGACTGGTCAGCGTTTGCCTCTACTGTGTGTTACCGTCCATGTTAGATTATCCTAAATGCAATGCATTCTCTAATCTCACATGTACTATCTAATGCAGAATAGCACTGGCTTGGATCTATTTGAAAGCTGGTTTGAAGGATAGATTGATAAAGTAGCCAAATGCATTCCAGCCAAGAAACATTTTCCACTTGAAGCCAGGGATGCCATCCTGATCCTGAACCAGTGTCTGTCATCACTAATGGACTGGATGGGGGCAAACTAGTTGAAATTAAATACAGTTCTTCTGGTCAGTCATAAGGTGAACCAGGGTGTGGGATTACAGCCTATGTTAGATGGGGTCACACTCCCCCTGAACATGCAGGTTTGCAGCCTGGGGGGTGATCCTGGACTCTTCACTGACCCTGGAACCTCAGATGTTGGTAGTGGCCAGGAGCACCTCCGCACAATTAAAACTTGTATGCCAGATGCGCCCGTACCTTGAGTCGCCAGATCTGGCCATGGTAGTCCATGCTTTCATCACATCCCATTTGGATTACTGCGATGCTCTCTATGTGGGGCTGCCTTTGAAGATAGTTCGGAAACTTCAGCTGGTTCAGTGTTTGGCAGCCAGATTGTTAACTGGAGCGACATACAGAAAGCAAACAACTTCCATGGTATGTCTGCACTACTGGCTGCCGGTCTGCTTCAAGGCTAAATACAAAGTGCTGGTCATTACCTATAAAGCCCTAAATGGTTCGGGCCCAGACTATTTGACATCCCACATCCCCATTTATTAACCTGTTTGAACTCTGCGATCATTGGAGGGGGCTCTCCTCTTGGTTCCACTCCCAGCTCAAGCTTAGCTTGTAGGGATGAGAGAGAGGGGCTTCTCTATGGTCGCCCCTTCCCACTGGAACTCCCTCCCTAAAGAAATCAGAACAGCCCCCTTGCACCTCTCCTTCAAGAAAGAATTAAAAACTTATTTTGGTTGGCTTACTTATGGAGAGGAGGATGAATAATATCACTGATTCCATCTTAGTGGACGAAGTTGACAATGACAATGACTACTTAATTTTAATGAAGAGCTATATTTTTATATTTTTATACAAGGTCTTTAGGCACTCCACCCAGTGTGCTGATCACCACTGGGACCACCTTTACTGGTTTGATCTTTAAGTCCTCATATCATGTCCTGTAGATTCACTGTGTAGGTCCTCCAGGTGTAGATACTTCAGCATGGTTCTAGGGCAGGAATAGGCAACCTTTGGTCCTTCAGGTGTTTTGGACTTCAGCTCCCACAATTCCTAACAGCAATTGAAGTCCAAAACACCTGGGGGGGGGGGAAGTGCCCATCCTGCCCTAGACCCATGCTGGAGGATATACACATGGAGGACCTACACAGTGATAGGTCCTCTTTGATATTCTGAGATAGGTCCTCTTTGATATTCTGAGATAGGTCCTCCTTGATATTCTGAGATAGGTCCTCCTTGATATTCTGAGATAGGTTCTCCTTGATATTCTGAGATAGATCCTCTTTGATATTCTGAGATCTGTAGAGCATAGGAACACATTCCAATCGAAAACCTTTACCTTTAACTTACTGATATTCTCAGATAGGTCCTCCTTGAGATCTGTAGAATATAGGAACACAATCCAACCCCACCCTGGGTTTGAGTGCATGGAAGGGTTCCCAGAAATGGGCAAACTTGGGTCCTCCAGGTTTTTTGGACTCCAACCCCCACCATTCCTAAGAGCCTCAGCCCCCTTCCTTTTCCTCCTCAGCTGCTGAAGCTATGTGTATAAAGCAGGCATGGGCAAGCTTGGGCCCTTCAACCCACACAATCCCTAGCAGTAGTTGAAGTCCAAAACAGCAGGAGGGCCCAAGTTCCCATTCTGAGAAGGCGGCGCTCTCTCCTATGAACCTCCTCCCCCGACGTCATCGCAAGGGGGAGGAGGCTCGCCCGTGGGGAGAGCGCTGATTGGCTGGGGCGCACGCCCGGGGTTCTTGAATCCCCTCCCCTCTCGGCTGGGGACTCCGCCCCGAAAGCTGGCGAGAGGAGCAGCAGCAGCAGCAGCAGCAAAGGCTGGCTGGGCTCGGAGGTGAGAAGCAGCAGCAGCAGCAGCAGCAGGCAAGGCTTTCTCCTTCCTTCTTTCCCTCCTCGTTCCCCCTTTCCTTGCGCTTTGATAGGCTCCGGCTGCCGAGAAGAAAAGCAGGAGTCAAGAAAGAAAGAGAGAGAGGAAGAGGGCCCCCCCCCCCCCCCCCCCGGCGGCAGGCAATGCGCCCCACTTGCTGTTTTGGCCGCCTCCTCCTCTTCTTCCACCGGGAAGCTTTTGTTCGGCTCTCCTCGATTTGGAAGCAGAAGCAGCGGGTTGCTGTTCCTTCCCTTCTTCTTCCTCCTCCTCCTCCTCCTGCTGCTTTTGGTCAGGAAAGTTCCAGGAGGTGAGACTCGTCCTGGCATCCCACGCAAGGTATTCCCTTCCCTCTCAGATGAGCCTCCCCCTCCCCCCCCCAAAGAAAAAGCATGGAAGATTTGGGGGGAGGAAGAGGAGATCTCCGTAGAGCATAGGAACATATTCCAACCTCATCCTGGGTTTGTAGGCATGGGTGAGACCCCCGGGTGCTTCTATACCAGGCATGGGCAAACTTGGGCCCTCCAAATGCTTTGGACTCCAACTCCCACCATTCCTAAGAGTCTCAGACCCCTTTCTTTTCCTCCTCAGCAGCTATGTGTATAAGGCCAACATTGGCAACCTTGGGCCCTCCAGGTGTCTTGGACTTTAACTCCCACTTAAGCAGCTGAGGGGGGAAAGGAAAGTGTCTGAGGTTGTTAGGAATGGTGGGAGTTGGAGTTGAAATCCAAAACACCTGGCGGGCCCAAACTTGCCCATGCCTGTACAGTGTAGATGTGTCTCAAGTGGGAAGGAGGACTTTGGTAGACTTTTCTACTGCTTTGGGGCGATGTTCAGGGAAGAGGAACATTTCTGGGGCTGGGTGGGAATACCATTAAGCCTGAACATCATTGAAGAGGAGATCTTCCAAAATGCGTCCCCATGATTGAGAGCGAGATCAACACCGTACAGATTGAACATCCCTTCCTTGGAATTCCAAAATCAGAAATGCTTCCAAATTGTTTCTGTGGGTGCCTGTGGAGAGTGACACCTTTGCTTTCTGATGGGTCACAAGCAGTTAGAAATCAGGCTATGTGTATAAGGCGGGCATGGGCAAACTTTGGCCCTCCAGGTGTTTTGGACTCCAACTCCCAGCATTCCTAACAGCGGAAGGCTCCTTTCTTTTCCTCCTCTGCCTTAAAGTATGTGTAGAAGGCAAGCATGGGCAGCCTTGGGACCTCCAGGTGTTTTGGACTTCAACTCCTGATGAAGCGGCTGAGAGGGAAAAGGAAAGGGCCTGAGATTGTTAGGAATGGTGGGAGTTGGAGTCCAAAATACCTGGAGGGCCCAAATTTGTCCATACCTGTACAGTGTAGATGTGTCTCAGGTGGGAAGGAGGACTTTGGTTGACTTTGTATAGCTTTGTGGCGATGCTCGCTCAGGGAAGATGAGCATTTTGGGGCAGGTGGGAATACCATTTAATTACTTCATCACACTGAAGAAAAAAATCCATTTTAAATTGGGTTGCTGCATTCTCCAGAATTCTGGGGTTTGTAGTTTAGGGAGGAGCCTTTAACAGCCTCACTAAACTACAAACCCCAGAATTCTGCAGGAGGCAGAAACCGGATTTAAAGTGGATTTTTTCTGTACTGTGATGAAGCCTGAACTTCATTAAAGGGAAGATCTTCCATAACGTGTCGCCATGGGTGGCCTAGGGTCATTGAGAGTGAGATCAACAACTTACAGATTGAACATCCCTTACCTGTAATTCCAAAATCTGAAATGCTCCCAAATGGTTTCTGTGAATATCTGGGAGAGTGACACCTTGCTTTCTGATGGGCACACAAGCTTTGTTTCAGACAAAAAATGATTAGAAATTGGGCTATGTGTATAATGCGGGCATTGGCAAACTTTGGCCCTCCAGGAGTTTTGGATTTCAACTCCTGCTTAAGCAGCAGAGAGGGAAAAGGAAAGGTTCTGAGGCTGTTAGGAACGGTGGGAGTTGGAGTCCAAAACACCTGGAGGGCCCAAGTTTGCCCATGCCTGTACAGTACAGATGCACCCTAAGTGGGAACGAGGACTTTGGTAGACTTTTCTACTGCTTTGGGGCGATGTTCAGGGAAGAGGAACATTTCTGGGGCTGGGTGGGAATACCATTAAGCCTGAACATCATTGAAGAGGAGATCTTCCAAAATGCGTCCCCATGATTGAGAGCGAGATCAACACCGTACAGATTGAACATCCCTTCCTTGGAATTCCAAAATCAGAAATGCTTCCAAATTGTTTCTGTGGGTGCCTGTGGAGAGTGACACCTTTGCTTTCTGATGGGCTCACAAGCTTTGTTTCAGATACAAACCGATTAGAAATTGAGCTATGTATATAAGGCAGGCATGGGAAAATGTTGACCCTCCAGGTGTTTTGGACTTCAACTCCCACAGTTCCTAACAGCAGCTGAATTCCTTGCCTTAAAAAATCTTTTGAAAATAATGAGATGGGCTTAGATCAGTGGCTCTCAACCTTCCTAGTGCTGCAACCCTTTAATACAGTTCCTCATGTTGTGGTGACTCCCAAACATAAAAGTATTTTTGTTGCTACTTCATAACTGTAATTTTGCATTCACTGGACCAAATTTGGCACAAATACCCAATGCTCCCAAATTTGAATACTGGTGTGGTTGGGGGGTTGATTGTGTCTTTTGGAAGTTGTAGTTGCTGGGATTTATAGTTAACCTGAAATCAAAGAGCACTCTGAACTTCACCAACAATGTAATTGAACCAAACATGGCACACAGAACTCCTATGACCAACAAAAAATACTGGAAGGGCTGGTGGGCATTGACCTTGAGTTTTGGAGTTGTAGTTCACCTACATCCAGGGAACATTGTGGACTCAAGCAATGATTAATCTCATGATTAATGTCATGAATACTCAATATGCCGAAGTGTGAACACTGGTGGAGTTTGGGGAAAATTGGCCTTGATATTTGGGAGTTGTAGTTGCTGAAATTTATAGTTCGCCTACAATCAAAGAACATTCTGAACCCCAGCAATGATAGAATTGGGCCAAACTTCCCACACAGAACCCCCATGGCCAACAGAAAATATTTATTTATTATTATTTATTTTATCAACCCCCGAGGGGGGGGGGGGGCTTAGAGTGGCTAACTCTGGCAACAATTCGATACCGCAATATCACAATATAACACAATATAAAACCATAAATATACAATAGATTAAAAACAATAACATTAATTATACAGTCATATAACCGTTTTCATTATCATAACCATCATATGGTCCAGTTCAGTGTCCAAAGCACCATTGTGCCTGCTAGACAAAAACCTGGTTACCCAAAATCACGATTTCATTTTTTTCCTAAAGGAAAGGAGGGAGGACACTGATCTAATCTCGCTGGGGAGCGAATTCCACAGGCAAGGAGACACCACCTAGAAGGCCCTGTCCCTCGTCCCCACCAGACGCGTTTGCGAGGCGTTTACTGTGTTTCTGATGGTCTTTGGCGACCCCTCTTACACGCCCTCATAACCCCCCCCAGGACTCCTGACCCCCAGGTTGAGAAACACTGCCTTAGATCAACATATGTCAACAGGTGACTTGAACGCAGGCACATACACACACATACACATAGGATTGTCACTTGAGTTTCTAATGTGCTGTTTTAGTACTTCTGTGCCCCCCCTTCTCTCCTGCCATCTGATTTAAATCTAGCTTACTAGAAATAACTGTAGCTTTGCAGTCTGATTAATGAAATGCCCTCTTCTTAAAATGGTTTATCATAGAAACTGACAACTGCTTTTGTGGGATGAGTATATTTAAAGAGCTGTGATTCATGTAGTGCCTTGTCATCTTACAGGGGAAAGTAAATTTATAGCTAAATTGCCATGGTTGGTTGTCATTTTAAAAATATTTTATTGCCACTTAATTCTCATTCTTTAGAACTCCAATTGAATTTGGTCGTTTCTTATTTCAGGCCAGTCCAACGGAATTTGATGGGACTATGGATTTGTATTGTCACAGTCTGAGCTTATAAGTGGTTGTTTGTAAGCCCTAAAAACTTTTATTTAGCAATATAAGCTGAGACATATGTGTGTATAACATATACATATAACATATGCTAATATTATAATATATTGTATACACATATAATATTGATAATATTATAATGTAACACAATGTAATACTAATAATAATATAATATGATAATTTTAAATTTCATATTACATGTAATATGTTACACTATAGTGGTACAGTACAGTATAGCAATATATAATACTAATATTGTGCTGTGCTCATAATATAATATATTGTATACACATATGATATTGATAATATTATAAGGTAATACAATATAGTAGTAATAATATTACAGTATAGTGGTATAGTACAATATAGTAATATATAATACTAATATTGTGCTGTGCTAATAATATAATATATTGTATGCACATATAACTTGTAAGCCGCTCTGAGTCTCCTTCGGGGTTAGAAGGATGGCATATAAATGTCATAAATAAATAATTTGAATTTCTTTCCATCATGATCTGAATCCCCTTTATTTTAAAGATAAAGTCATGCTGTGTTTCTTCATTGGTAAACATCCTTTAGGTTGACACAAGGGTTTGGAACTCAAAATTAATACACTAAGCTACCTTAAAATCATTCATGCAGTAATTTTCTTGGCGCACATTGCTGTCTAAATTCATTCTCAGAGAGACTATTAATTCCATTGAAGTTTGCTTTTGCACAGTTTAATGCACAGATTGACTGAGAGCCCTTCCAGGCAGGCCCTATATCCCAGGATTTGGTCCCAGGTTTTCTTCTTTAAACTGGATTATATCAGTCTGCACTGCCAGATACTCTGAGATAAATAGAAAACCTGGGATCAGATCGTGAGCTATAGGGCCTGTCTGGAAGGGCCCTGAGACTTCATAAGTAGGCTCTAGATTAGGCAAATTGTTAACTGTTTATTATTCTGTTCTAACATTTTGGTTTACAAGGATTGCTTTCAGTTTGCAGGGATTGTTTCAATATTCCTAATTGTTCTAAAAGGCTCTTAGAATTAAATAAATACATTAATTAACTATGGGAGCAATTAATATATATTTAAAACAACAACTGCATTTTAACACACACCCCCAACCTAGTGTTCTCCAGATGTTTTTGGACTACAGCTCTCATAAAAGCTACAAGAGCCATCACAAGTATGACTCGGAAGAAAGCACAATATAAGCTATAGTCTAAGAGCACATGGGTGGAGAAGACTGAAAACCTGTTATTCACAAGGATAAATGTATTTCACTGATCATACATTGTGATGGATCAGACTTTGTGGAGGCAACTAAAT